TGTATATAGTTGCAAGAATCTTAATAAAGTACTAGCGTGGCTGCTTAAGAGCAAAAAAAAAAAAAAAAAAAAAAAAAGATAAAATAGAAACAAGAAAAACATTAATTAAAGACCTAATTTTAAAAACAACTCAAGATAGATTATCACAACTTTTGAGTATAAGAACAAGACAACAGTTTATAAACATAGTAGTAGAGACAGTATGAAACATTTTTTATAAACAAGTTTAAAAAATATATTATGAAAAGGTTAATACATAGAAAAAGAAAAGAGGAATAGTAAGCAAAGCAAAAAAAAGAAAACAAAAAAAAAGAGAAAACTCAAGTAAAAAAAAAAAGATTAGTCAGCAAAAAATAAAGAAAAGAAAAAAAAATTGAAAAAAAAGAAAAACAAATTAAAGAGAAAGTCAAGAAAACAATTTAAGAGCTTGTTATGAAAGAAAAAAGATCCTTTTATTATGAACTTTAAGTAGTTAGACAAGCAGCTTACTTCTGCTAGAGGTAATGCAGCAGGTTGCACTTAGGTGCAATTAGGGTAACTGGGTAATGCTAGGCTTAGTTATTAGATATATTTATATAATTGCAATGGTAATTTTAAAAATCTTAATAAAGTACTAACATAACTGTTTAAATAAATAAATAAATAAATAAAAAAATAAATAAATAGATTGATAATAATATAAATTCAAAATGGTTACTTATGCCTAAGTTTTTCTTAATAACTTTATAGTTGAAATTATTAGCAATTATAGATAACATCTGTCAACACTTATTCATATTATATTTATTGATTTTTAAAGAATTATGAAAAGAATTCCAAAAAGCATTCATAGAACATAAAAGAGTTGATGTAATAAATCCAAGGTTGTATAATATGGACAAAAAACTTCTATCACCATTCAAAGTGGTGAACCAAGACCAAAACTCAAACTATAAAATCTATTCATGACAATTAAGTATATGTGCAATGAATGTAATGCTATAATTGGTTGTAATTATAATAAATTATGTCATTTTTTGCTGTAATTCATTATAATTACAACCAATTATAGCATTTTGCTCACATCTTTATGTGTAAATTGTGAAATTTGACTGATTTTTTTCACATCAAAAACATTTTGATAGTAAAGTAATCAAAAAGATAAAAGTCAAACTATATCTATTTTAGGCAATTTCACAAATTAGCCAGCAATATATACGTACGTATACGTATGATTTTTGAATTATAATAATTCTTTTAAAAAGGAAAAAAAAATTTTGGCAATTTGTCATTGGATACCCTGGATGGTTATAAAAAAAATACATATATAGCCTCGAACTACTCAAAATTCGATCACCTAGTTGAACTCGTAATTTAGATTACGAATTTGTACGTAGTAAAAGTTACGAGCGAAGCGAAGCGCGGTAAACATTACAAGATTATCGGCGCGCGCCTTTACTTATGAATGCGTACCTTTTGGGTACCTTAGCTTCTTTTGGAGTTGGTTATATTGCTTGTCACTACAATTTGGTGACTAAAGTATACGAAGCTTTTAACGACATTCCGTCAACTACTCATAAGGTATTCTTTACGAATTTAAACGAGGTCTAAGGTTTTACAACGTAATCTGTCGATCAATTTAAAGATTAAACCTTATTATTTTTTTGTGTATTGATCTATTTGTATGTAGCGCCACCTTCTTTACGTGTTTGTAGGTCTCAGTATACTTTTTCTCTTTATTCTTATTCCTCTATATCGAATTGCAGGTTACGAATCTAAAAGAGTGAGTGTTCGTACTTTTACACTTAGCTTAGATCAACCTATTAGTAATTAATAATTCACGTTGATTTATATGTACAGAATAACGGTTACCCTTACAGGACTTCTGCTAGAGAACATCTTCAACGAAGAGGAAGTTTTGCCGTAGAAACATGAACACGCCTGGAACTGTATCCAAGATATTCTGGCCTGCGCATGTTTGTTCAGCCCGGACGAAATCGGGATTTTTGGTAGGCTGGAGTGTTTGTAGCTTTACAGCCTGCGTTGCTTCAGTGATTTCTAATGTAAAAGTATGTCATTCCTATTCATATAAGTGTTCCTATGTCACACCAAATACGCTGATGAACTTTTATACTTAAAGCTTAAAGATTTGGAAGCCGCTTTATCGGCATTATCGACGGATAATAGCTCATCGTTTGTATATATGGGTAAAGTTTGTGGTGCGCCACCGATTGTCTTGGGCGTGATAACTACACATTCAAGTAATGATGATATCCATGATAATATTCACAAAGAAGGTATAAAGAATCATAATTACTATGATGCCGATTATGACCTTCAATGTGGCATAGAAATTTAATCGTCTAAGGACAGGTTGTTTATATTTTATAACTTACTTATTAATGTTACAAAGGCATTGCCGATAAAAAGATGACGGCAGACTTTTGGATGACGATCCATTTACAGGACAATAATATGCCTTCGCTCAGGTTAGGAATCCTTAATATTATGTGGAGTGAGTCATTAGGAACCAGTAAAAAATTTTTTTTAATATATTTAAGACTTTGAAAATTAATAATAAAGACTTTATCATATTTGATAAAAATTTTGTTAAATTGATTTTACAAGCTAACAAATTTATTTAAAACTTTTTTTATCAAATTTGATCAAGTTCTCGTTGTATTTGTACAAAGGTTAAAATTTTTTTAATAAGTTTAAACTTTAAACAAGAATAGCTTAACAAAACTTAATCAAGTTTAATAAAAACCCTTTATAAATTAATTTTATACATTTATAGAATTTATTAAATTTAATCAAGTTATTCTTGTTTAAAGTTACAAAAAAAATTTATTATAAAATATTTGCTTTATTCCTATTGATTCATACCCATATGTTTAATTAAATTATCTCACGAAAGTCAATTACTTAATATTCTTTACGTTAGGTCTATATATTGCTGTGGTTATAGATATTCAAACATTAGTTCTGAAATAATTTTTTACAAACAGCCAAATCCCACAAAACTTCAATATCTTTCATTGGATCCGTTAGTATTAGACATTCAACAGGATAGTGGAAATAAGATTGAGCAGGATTCAATAACAATAAATAATATAAAAACAATCATCAATACTCGGGTGCATTTCTTAGGTGAACAACGAGTACAGATTAATTATATGGATCTCATTTTGAACCAGGTGTGAAATCAAAAATTTAATCCTCCTCTTATTTTACATTTGCTATGCTGACATAAATTTTGGGAATTTAACACTAGATTAATTCATCGTTTGAAACCGAAAAAGCTATTATATCTCGTTGCCAAGCATTTACAATAAAACGTTGCCGAAGTAAAAGTGTTTCTGAAACAGTAAAGGAATCGGCCGTTGGAATAGGGCTATTCTTAAAAAAAAGCTTCTCTTATCCAATTAACTATCTGACCCCTACGATTAAGTATATCTTTTCACAGCCAATAATTATCTTGCTCATGATTGTGAGAATTTTTGCCGAGGTGATTTTACGGATCTTGAATTTAAGGTTTCCGCCATGGCTTTTTAATGGAACCGCATTAAAGGATTTATCTGCCACATGTAAGTTGTTCTTCAGTAAAATCGCGACGACCGATATTTAAGTAATTGAATCTATTTGTTCATTGCAACTATAGCACAGCAAATTGATTTACGCCTTCAGCAAGCTTGCTATTGGCCTTGGCAATATATGCTACTCCGAATTAGAGATTGGACGAATACTGCGACAACGCGTGCACAGTATATTAGGTAAGGTGATCGATCACTCGGGTTACTTGAACTTTTTTAAATTCGATCTAATATAGTTTATAAACCATTACAAGTTTTTACAATAGTATGTGGCTTGTAGCGAATGATATAATAATAGGTGTTACTATAGGATCATTTCTTATCAATAATAGTGAGTACGTGGCAAATATCTTGTTAAAGGACTATCTCGATGTAAGGATATAAACGCATGTATTTTCACTCATGGTTATGTATAAATATGCTAAGGGTTATATGATTTCTTGTTAATAATTATAGCATTATACTATTGAAAATTTAGTGTCGATGATTGAATGGTTGATGGGTTGGCCAGCGGGTCTAAAATTGAATAGTGAGTTGGATAAATTCTTGGGTGAACTCTTTCTTTGGTCAATTGATTTGTGGAAAGGTAATTTAAATAAATCATTATTTACAATTATTTACATATAAAGTTTAATCTCTTACCTATTTCAACTGCTTTTTTTTTGTTTATAGATTGCGTGATAACTATGGGCCCATTTATACCTGAAGTTCTTAGGATAATCGGACTATCTGGAACTTTAGGGGGGTCAATGGTCTTATCACTTCTATCTGACCTTTTATCCTTTATGACGTTACACATTTATATATTTTATATGGTTGCGGCGAAGATTTTTAATTGGCAGCTTACTATACTTTATTCCTTATTTAATTTATTTCAAGGCAAGGATTTAATATCTATTGTATAATAATTTTTTATTTTTTATATTAACGGATTTTTATTTATTTAGGAAAAAAATGGAACACACTGCGAAAGAGAATTGATTCCTGTGACTATGATCTGGATCAATTACTTCTGGGAACAATTTTGTTTACCTTATTAACATTTTTGTTCCCTACTGTTGCGGTGTATTACGCCACTTTTGCAACTGTGAGTATTAATATAATATTACTAGGTTTGTGAATGGCATTCGTACACATTGATATTGACTACTTTCTAACTTCAGAGTCGTGTAGCAGTTATCTTTTTAAAAGCTTTCATGGAAACTCTACTAGCGTTTTTGAATCATTTTCCACTATTTGCGATCATGCTGAGATTTAAAGATCCGGAACGACTACCAGGTAATTCAATTTAAACTATTTGATGAATCTAATTAGTTTTGAAATTTAATAATCCTATATAATACATATTTAGGCGGACTAAGGTTTGAATTATGCGATACAGATTATTTTGCATCTGGTGGAATCGCCAGAGTTGTTCGGGGAATTAAATCTATTTGGCCTTGGGCGAATCGATCCATCAATCAGGACATTCCTATAAAGAATGTACCTATTGTTAATGGTCTAAGTTCTCAAACTAGTGATTCTACAGTTGATGAACCGGATCGTATTATTAGATTAAGAAAAAGCCGAATGACTGCTGTAGTTAATGAAAAAAACATATCGCCATCATCTATACATAGAATAAATCCTTCAACAACGCCAAAATCAAGTTATCTATTTATGCAGGTAATCTTTATTAATCTATTTATCTAATTGAGTTATTTAAAACGTTATTGACGATCCTCTTTTTTTTCAAGAATTTACCGATACCATTATCGGCAATATTTTTTCAATACCTCCTGCTATGGAAGATGCTGAGCTCTCATTATTTCTCACTGTATGAATCATGGTCATGATTACATGTCCTGTTATATTGCTGGATTTAAATGGTTGTGTATTAAATAATTATTTTTTCAGATACGTATTGCGTTGCCTTGTTAGCGGAGAAGCTATTAAACACATAGCAAGGCTTCAATATCCTATGTTACCTGAAACTAGGTAAACCTAAAATGTTAGCGATCCCATGTGCTTATTATTATTTTCAAACCTTTAATTGGCATTTTTTCTTAAACAGATCTAATTTAATGGATTTTTGGTTATTCCTTAAAATTAGCTTTACTGTACAAGATGAATAAAAATAAAATAAATAATAAAATAATAATTTACTTAATTGGCACAGTAATGTTAATAACTTAGTGTGCACCATATATCATGGGAAATCTATACGATTTTCCTGATTTCCCCTTGGTTCGCATTTATTTCCCTTATTCACAATCGGCAATCGTGCGATTTCCTACAAAATAATAGTGCGCACCTCGCTATGCCTTTTTGAAAACAGCTGTAATTTACTGTAGAGTAAATTAAGCATTACTACCTAAAATAATTCGCTAGCCAATTAGAATGTAATGTAATGTAAAAGAAGTGCAACAATTAAATCCAAATATTATTCGCAGCTCAAAACAATCGCTTATGAAAATTGTTAGTATGGAAACTCTTAACCTAATTGATGACGAAAACCTAATATTATATAACGGACAAGCTTAAACAGTGCTCCATGCACTTTGTGTCCTTACAATAAAATTGCGAAAATTGTAACATCCGCAAGAACGTTTCTCTTGCAATTTCTAACCCTAATTCTAATTATAACCTAACACTAATTTCTATTGTAGACTCAATTTTGCTTAGAGATATTGAAGACATTGAGTTCTAGACAGAGGCATTAGATTTATTTTGAACTTGTATTGAATTGTTTTTAATGGCCTGCTCTATGAAACGATTGCTCAATAAATTTGAGTAAATATTTTAAATGATTTGAGTAAAATCTTAAATAATTCAAAATATAATAGATTATGCAAGGTAATGCATCAAACCAAGAGTTTAAATCCCTATTACAGTATTAGGTCATGTAATTTGATACATCTAAAATTGTTTTTTTTTTATATATAGATGTATATACAGAGTTGTAACTTTCTTGGTACAATATAATTAAGTAACAAGTTTACCCAGTATAAGGATTGACTATTGCAATTTATATATAGAATGAAGGTGTAGTAGTTTCATTTCACTACATAGCAACAAGCAAATAGTACGATATCTCAAAAAAGTTACGGCATTTGCTGATCATCGCCGATATTAAAATTTTGGTTATTAATTTGTTAAAAAAGCAACACTAAGGAGAATATGGATATACTTGTAACTGTTACTATTATTGCAATCTTTGTTCTAAATCAACAAAAAGCATTCTATACTTTTTTATTGCTAAAAAAGTAATTTTTTATTACTTGATTTTTTAGACTGCAATAAGTTATAATTTTTTTTTTGCTTTTGTTAAGGCTGTTGGTTATTGGTGGTTACTGTTTTTATTGTGATTTAATTATAATTACATAACTTGTACAAAGTAAGTGTACAATTAATCACACATACAGCTTTTGACTATCTACTTAAGTAGTCTACTTGCAGATTCTACACTAGCTATCATATCTGTAGATTACTTAATTAAATACTTTGATTCTTATACTATACTTAACAGATAGTATATAAATTTCTATACATCTAAATGTCATCTAATCTAACTTTGTTCTTCCTGCCTGTACATCTGTTAAATCATTATACATTTCAGAGTATGTCATTTAACTGTAGGATTTTAGAAGGTTCTTTTACTAATCAATTATTCATATTTAATTTTTTATTAACAAAGTTTATTTTTGTAAAGTTTATTCAAATTTTAGTATTAATTTCACAACATATTCCTAGTATTTATAGTATATTCTAATTTTATTCTTAGACTTTCAATTCAGATAGTTTGAAAGGACTGTGACCTGTTTTTGGTATTTTAAAGTTTCAACTTGGTAATACCTCTTATCTAAGTTTCTTGTTCATCTGATTTTTTTTATATCAATATTCATTTCTTAGATCTAGTTTTTACAATAGTACTATTGAAGTTCTATATTACTTCTCTACTTGAGTCATCTCAAGTGGATTCTGATTTTCAGTTTTACAGATTTATATAATCATAAGAACTTATTTTGGGTTTATATTACTTAATATCAGTTTACATTCTTTTATATAATTTTAATATTATACAGATATTTTATGATCTATTAGTTATGCTAGTAAAATCATAATTTACAAGTATTTTATTTCAATTGATTAACAAAATGCTGTTATCATAATACTATCTATATATTACAAGAAGATTATTCAAATTTTCATTGTCAGTAGATTTTAAATTTATAATCTATAGGGTTGGGCTCCATAGCTTAATTGTTAAGCTGCCAACTCCCCACAGATGAGGTCAATGGTTCAAGTTGGGCTGGAGGCAAAATCCAAGGATTTTAACTCTGTAACCTAATATAGGAGCCAAATTGGATGCAAAGCTGTGGTAAGTCCCAAGGTGAAATACAAGGATAGATTAGGAATTCCCGGAAGGAGATCGACTCTGCAGAGAGAAGGCACTACGTATGACAGCGGTGTTACAGAAGGTTCTACTACTAAAAAGTGTTGCGCGGGTAAGTCCTATCGAGACGAGGCAGCACCAACATCTCTGTA